TGTAATTATGATTACAGATATCCTAACTCAATCATTAGCAACAGTTGCTATAATACAAATATTATATAGGTGATTATCCAAATTTTTGCTATTAATAGAATTTGAACATCCAATCTACTACTTTGGGGTTGACAATTTGACCACTTCACTAGGTTGTTACACCTCTGATTAGCATATTTGTTATGTTATATGACTTAATAGTTTACATAATAAATAGTTATATATTATATAAAGTGTTTTTTGAATAGAAAATGCACTATATTTATAACATCTTAATATAATTAGTTTGTTAACATTTAACTTGTTCAACTCAATAGGGTTAGGTTAACAAACTTGAAATAAATAAAATTAGAGTTAAGTAACTGGAGTTTAGGTTTAGAATTAGATTTTTTTTAAAAACTTATAAAATATAAATACTATAAAGACATTTTTTAGATTAGAATTTAGAATTATAGTATTAATGTTCAATTATCTATTTTTATAATAAGTAGTCTCAAGAATATTATTGTAAAATCTGCTTTTAAAGTTACTACAATTGAGACTACTATCACTGAAATAACTACTACCAAAACAATTACTACTATTAAAATTATCACTGAAATGACTACTACTAAAATGACCACTATTATTAAAACTACTATTGCTAAAACTATTATTACTAAAACTACTGTTACTAAAACTATTACTACTAAAACCACAATTACTAAAACCATTATTGCTAAAACCATTATTGCTAAAACTATTATTACTAAAAGCATTATTACTGAAGTTATCACTGTTGAAGTCACTATTGCCAAAACTATTATTACTACTAAAACTAATACTACTATTATTTGAGTTGCTATTTCTGTAAAAGAACATATTTCACAAATATTAAAACTTCAATAATTCATAAATATATTGCTTAGAAAGTATCATAAAAGGATATATTAGCAGAATAGTATGTATAAAAAAAAGGTTAATAATATAATTGAAGTCAAAAAAACAGTTGCTATTTTGTTAGATCACAATATGAATTAGTAAACTAGAAAAATAAAATTACAACTAATCTTTTTTCAACATAGTGTATTTAAATTACTCTTATTCAATAATCAAACTATAATTGTTGAGTTTTATTAAATAAATCAAAGTTGTATAATAGCTGTAACCTAATTAACAGTATTTAAATAACAGATCATCCACTTTTTTTAAATTTTTTTTTTTAAAAAAAAAACAAAAAAAAAGATCAAAAAAAATTAAAAAAAATAATTAAAAAAAATCAAAGAAAATTTAAAAAAATTTTTTATATTTTTTAAGTTGAAAAAAAATTTTTTGCAATTTTGAAATTAGAAAAAAAACTCTCTTATATTTTTGAAATTAGAAAAAAAATCTTTTGATTTTTTTAAGTTTGAAACAAAAAAACAAATTTTTGTAATTAAAAAAAAACTTTTTTGTAATTTGAAAAAATCTTGTTTTTTAAGATTAGAAAGTAGTTTTTTAATGCACATTTTTTTTTAAAAAAAAGCATAATATAGATTTTTTTTTTGTATAAAAAATTTTGTTTAATAAAATAAAGTTTTTAAAGATATATAAAGATAGCAAAAATTTTTTATTAAATTTTATTATAAATTTTATATTATTTATAACTGTTATAATTATACCTAAAATAGGATATAGGTCCTATAGCTTAGTGGTTAAACTCCTACATCTTCATGGTCTAAGTTGATAATTCAAGTCCAGCTGAAGGCAAAATTCAAAAAATTTTAGTTTCTGTAACCCAAAAAAGAAGTTAGTAATTGAATATCAAGCTCTATAAACAAAAACCAAGTATAGTATATGATTGAAATAAGAATTTCTGTAAAAAAACCAACTTTGCAAAGTATGAGTACTATATATGAATAGAAGCACAGAAGGTTCCATTATACAAAAAATTGTACAAGTAAGTTCTCTAAGAAACATGAGGTAGTATTAATATCTTTATAGTTACTAGCAACCTGAATGTAGTATTTGAGATCATAACTTTGTAATTATGTTTGCACTAAAGACTCTTTAAGAGTGTGTCTAGAAAACATATAAATAAATCCAAAAAATATATACTAAAAAGAAAGCTAATAAGGGAGACTTGATTGGAATAATAATATCTAAAGTAATACAAATTGGAATAATAGAAAAAGTGATATATGTAAGGAAGATCTGTAATAAAGAATTAACTGTTCCAAGATTAGAAGCATCTCTGACACTATAGAACATCTAAAAATAGAAGGTAACTATTATATAAAAGAGGTAGTCTGTTCTGTATACCTAAAAGTACTAAGCCAGAGCACTAATTATATCTATATAGAAGTTTACAATAAAACAAAAAAAATATACTAATATAAATGCTATACCAATCAGGGTTGAGATACCTTAAATTTGAAATAGTAGTAATATTATAATAGCCAATAACTAAAAAAAATTATTTAAAACATAACTTACTTATACTATAAAAAGAAATATTTAAGAAGCAGATTAGATATACAATCTATTGAAAATAATGCTAAAACTGTATAATAATTCAACTTGGTAGTAATAGAAATAACTAACTTAAAATATGTACTACTAGTATTTAAATTAAGAAAGTTAGTAATAGTAGCAGAGCTCTGGCTTGAGATATATACTAAAGAAAACACCCTTCAAGTATACCAAAGATGGTAACTCAAAAAGAGTGAATAACCTAGTAAACTAATTTGGAATTTGTTAAAATAAATTGTAAGACATAGAAAAAATATGTAAGTTACTCAATATAATTAGATAGGAACTAAAAATTCAGATCAGATGTGAGTGTAACACAATACAGAATTTTTGTAGATTTAGGTTGTAGATAAATATGTCTAAGTTCTATGTTCTAAAATAGATCTATATAAGTTGTATAATATATAGTAATATATATTAATAAAAAACTAGAAACATAGTCTCACCTTAATACTAAAAAAAAATAATTATATCTAAAATATTAAAAAAATTATTGAGTGATTTTTTAGCCAATTTGATTATAGCTATTTTCATAAATTCTAAAACATCTAAAAAATTTGTTGTTAATATTTTGACTAAATTTAATATATATTAATTTTAGTGCTCTTTGGTATCATATAATACTGAAATCAATAACTTATAAAATTCAGTCAAAATTGTTATTGCTAAAATTTTTTAGGTGTCTCAGAATTTATAAAAACAACTATAAGTTTATAATTTCAATATAATTATATTAGATAAATTTACTAGTAAAGATTAAATTTTGATTTTAGCAAACCTTTTAACTTTTAGAAGAACTTTTAATTTTTAGTAAAATTTTTGACCTTAGTTTCAAAAAGAATTTTGATTTTCAGTAAAACTTTTGACTTTTAATAAGACTTTTAATAATTAGTAAGAATTTTGACTTTCAGTAGAACTTTTGAACTTTGGTAAGACTTTGACTTTTGGTAAGAATTTTAACTTTTAGTATAAATTCCAACTTTCATTAAGACTTTTGATTTTTAGTATAAATTTTGACTTTTAATAGAACTTTTAGTAGCAACAAGAGGAACCATTGATATTACATAACTGATTTTTTACCTAGTGTGCAACATATAAAAAAATTTTTTTACAATACCAGATCATTCTGCTAGTACATGTTATGATTATAATTCAACACCATTTTTATTATAATAAAATGGTGTTGGATTATAATCATAACATGTACTAGCAGAATGATATGATATTGTAAAATGAATCAGTCATGTAACATCGACGGTTTCTTCTGTTGATCAAAGCAATATAACCTAGAGATTGGAACTGCCCAAAATTTTTTTAATCATTTAATCATTAACCACATTAACTATTTAATTCATGATAATCTTGGCTACTAAACAATATAATTCAGCCTGGCATTAGGAAGAAATTTTTATGCTGTTAAACGGTTCCAATCCCTAATATGTACTATATAATGGATTAATAATCACGTATAAAACTGTGAATCGATCTAAAACTACAATATGAGTGTGACACACCTTATTTGACTGATTGATACGAAGATCATCATGTGATCACATGAATTTCAGCATCATCCGATTTCACGATCATCCGCGACAACAATTGATAGAAACTTTTTTGTTTTTTGACTTATTTTGGTAAAGTGATGTACAAAATGAATTCTATTATTAAATTATTTATTAAACCATTTATTAAATTATTTATTTATATATTAAAAAAAATACATTAAAATCTCTTAATTATACAGTAAACACTATTAAATATAATTATTTATATATATATAAACAACTATTGAATTGAATTTTACTTAAATTAAATTAACAGCCTCAACCCATAACAAACTTGGATCTCTAATATTTTTTTCATTATAAAATAATCTGTGATCTGCAGGTCTAAAATCGAATTCTAGCACTGTATCAGGATGTTTAAAACTATATGCTTCAACGAAAGGAAAGGTCAAAACAAAACCTTTATAATGAGAATCTAAAGGAGGCAAATCAGATATGCCCAATTCCGTTAAGAATTCAAAAAGGTCATCACTGCCAAGAACGATTCCTCCGGGGAATGAAGCAAAAGATAACGGTTGATTTGCAAATCCTCCTATAGAAACGGTGGGTACTTGGCCAACTTCTTGAAGATATTGAGAAATCATAGAAGCGGCGGAGCCAGAAGCTCCATTTGAAAGAATAATCATATTTTTGGTATCCCAAGGTAATTTAATTTGTTTAGGCAAATCGACAGGAGTGAATTTTGTGGAATAACTAGATAGACTACCGCCTCTTTTAATTTTTTTGGAACCTATTACTTCTTTGGAAGACTTAAAATGTTTTCCAGTTTCAAAGTCAATAAAATCAGAGAAAAAATTCTCATGGTTTGGTTTAAAACTTGAAGTAATAAACTTTTTCGCTATATCCGATTGAACGTTCATGTCATAAGGAAAGAATGTATGATTAAAAGAATTAGAAGGTAATAAGATTGAATTGATAAGATGAGCAAAATCAATAAATCCACCAGGATTATTTGATAAATCAAGAACAAGCTATTAAAAAAATGAATAGGTTATCATTAAAATACATAAATAAATAATATATATACTATAATATAGAAGATACCTTTTTAATTGAAGAATCCTCAGCCAATTTTTTAAATCCAGCTAACGTTCCATTATTATCTGCTTCCTCATCAATGAAAACTACGATACCAAAATCAGAACCGATAGATTTATAAAATTTTACGTGAGTAGCGTCATGTACCAGGGTGGCTTTACTTAATTTAACAGAAGGTGTGGATATTCTATTAGATAATGCATTTTTTAATTTTGGATTGGAAATGTATGGCAAAATTCCAAATTTCTTTATGGTGTGGGATTCTTTATGCTTGGCACGATCACCTTCGCTACTTAAACAAATATCTTTATAGAAAGATTTTATTCCGGTTTCAAATTCTAAAAATGTAACGAACCATTCCCTCGTAACATTTTTAGTTACCGTATTTGGGCAATTTAAAGTGTATGTGATACTATCAGTTTCAGGCAAATCTACTCGAACAGTAAATTCACTTCCAAGTATCCATGGTTTACCATCTTCTAGAGATATAGAAGTTAATGCATTATTTAAACGAACGCCGAGATCACGTGAGATAAAACTTTGATTATTGGCAAAGTTTTTGATTGCATCAAATGCGGGGACAGAATCAATAGAAGTCACTTCGCAATCAATATTCGTATGATCATCTAAGTCGTCAAAAACCTTTATGATCTGTTATATTTATCATATTCGAACAGTATAATTAGGAAAATGTAATTAATATTACAATAATATAATATAAAATCAATAATATTAACCTGATTTCCTTTTTTATCAAGTACGGAATATAAATGTAGCCTTTGATCATATAAAAATTGAGTATAGCAAGAAGAAAAAAGTTGCACATGTGCATCATGTAATTTTATATAAGTATTTCTTAAGGATTTCTGGATTATCAAATAAAGATAAAATAATATATCTAAATATATCAGTAGTTTTTAATAAGAGTATCGGAAATTAATGATTAAAACATTAAATACCATGAATTCGAATTCTGTTTTAGGATTACTCTCGATAATTTTATCTAATTCTTTGATTATATCAACTGGTTCAAATGTAAATCCAGGTTTTGCTTGCTCTCTTGCTTGATTAAAGAACGAGTAGAAACTAGAGCTGTATTGTTTCAACACATCGACTGTCTAATTTTTAATAATAAATATCAAAATAGCAATTAATAGAATAATTTAATTACAAAGATTCATGATTCATTATTTAAAATTTTACCTTTTTTGCTATAGCCGCATCATACGGGAAACTAGACAAGCAATTTTTTACATCATTGTATTTTGGATTCGCTGTTGCTATAACTGGGGCACATGGATCTTTTTTATGAGGACGAGAATTAACGGATGAAATTACAGAGAAAAGCAAGAAAAGAGATATTAGGAAATATGAAAGAGATCCGTAAGAAGTCATCTTTTACTTTATGCTCATAATAAATCGGTTGATAATTATTAGCATACTATTCCGGCATTTTAACATTTTTATACTAGATTTTTTTATAGAGAATTAGAACCAGATCACATTTTTCTAGTCATTATTCTCAATTTCCTCTATGGACTTTATTCATTCATGATCTTCTCTAGAACTCACATTTTAATCGTGATTATGAATAAAGATCATTAAATTATACGAGGTTGACCTCATGCGATTTTCATAAATCTTGAAACGATAGACGTTTATATATTTATTTATTTCCGAGATTAATATTGACTTAAGTGGCTTGTTGCAGAAATCGTTGAGATTAAGCATAAATGCTACAAATTTTATATTACGTATTATATTTATATTTGGATTTATCATTTTTATGAATATAGAAAATGCATTAAGTAAACGAAAGTATTGATATTTTATTAGTTGGAAAATTGTCATCTTATATAGTGTCGAATCGGAAATAACTTTCGGGTAATCATGCACCGATTAATTTGTGATACAGTAGTAAGTGCTTATCATTAACAGATCTTTTTATAAATATGTTTCTTTATGATATTTTAAGGAGACTTATATATCGAATTGCAAATCATTGTTAATGTTTCTAGTTTTAGTTTGTTATTTTCGTAAAATTTACATGTGCTATTCGTTATTGCTCACTTTACTTCCTGAAATGTTATTTCGCCGAGTTCATAATTCCGATATCCATAAAAAGTCACGAAACTGAGTTTAAAAGTCTATAATCAGTGTTGGGTTATACTTGTCCATAACTTCGTGTAACGATGATGGGAAATTTCGGAGATTCTAAATAGACTATCATCATATATTAATCATTTTGAAATCTGTGAATAGAACAATAGGCTACCTAATTTCCCGTGATTTTACATGATATGAGTGCGTGAGAGTGAAAATCAGGAAATACAGTAAAACCTCCATAAGTGCACGCTCTTGATGACGTGCACTTGGAGAACAATAAGAAAAGGTGCATTTATGGCGGTTATATATAAATTTAGACCCGAATTTAAATGTGCACTTATAGAGATTTCACTGTAACATATCTACTATTAAAACAGTAAACAACTTTTAAAATCTCCAACGTCCATTGTTAAAATCACTATTCGACCGTTGAAATTATTAATCATTGCAAATCACTAGCTTACCCATCCACTTTTGAAATAATGAGCGCGCCTATCATTGAAATCACAAAATATAGAAAGCAGACAAATAAATCTTCACAGTGTTATAAAAACATGTTAACCACAATTCTTTAATGTTCATTAACGAAGTTATGTACATACATAGTTAACGTTTTTGTAAGGTTCATCGACAATCTACCTCTAGCCAATGCTAACAAATTTATCAGGCCAACCCTGTCAACTCAAACTTTATCGATAAAATGGCTGTCGACAAAATAATTCATGAAATTAGTTACAATAATCATGACTAAAATTTTAAAGAATTGAATAAAATTTCCTTTTTTATTATTTTATTGATATAAATTATAAATTAAATATATTTATTAACCCAAATAAAGCTTCCCGATCCTGGTCTTAGCGCGACTGCATCGCACAACTACCTATACTTTTACAATAATTCTAAATGATCGCCATGTGATATTTGGATGACCACTGAGTTAACTCTTCAATCTACCCAAATTATCATTAATACAAGTGACTCTTAATATCCTGGTCTAGTCAAAATTTTATATCGAGATCTTATTCAAAGGTTTTTATTATAAATTCTTAATTAGGATTTACAAAATCTTATATCAAAAGTTTTTTCTACCGAGAGTCACTTGTATTTGTAAATATACACTGTTTAATTAGGTTCCGGTTTAACTTCCGAAATACATTTTTCTGAAATACCACTTCACCGAAGTCGTAATACCGAAAATAAATTAACCGATAAGTTTAGTTCATTGGCAATTATTCACTGACATAAACTTGTCAGTTAATTGATATTCGGTGAAATGATACTGACCTATTTCTGTTCTGTTAGTAAAATGGATTGTCAGTATTACGACTTCGGCGAAGTAGTATGTCAGAAAAATGAGCTTCGAGAAAGTGATCAACAATCTTTAATTACCGTATTGACTATTCTACAATTATTTGCCAATATCACATCATTTGTGCTTGGAAAAAAAATTATGTAATATTTTAGGATTGATAATTAGCATTTTTCTTACATATATAAATATCGTTTTCTAAGTAATTTGCAATTATCAAATATACAGTATATACTATGTTAAAATGTTAAATCTCTATATAATTATAAAAATTAATAACAGTTAATATTAAAAATACCCATTAGAGCATTAAAGTAATGGACTAAAACAGACAAGATTATCAATACTGAAATAAAATACAAAATATGCATTGTTTCATTCAGATTTTTTTTTCATTTTTTCAAGTTTTTAAAATTTTAAATTATTAACCATTTGTCAATTGGCTTAAAATTTAGTTTATGTTTCTCAGTTATTTCTTATTTGAAGAAGTTTAGACAGCTTGGAAGACATTTACCTGTATAATATACTATACATTGTGATACCGGATATCGTGACCGATCACGTGAAAAATGCACGAAATGCAATAAGTTACATTTAGGATCGGAAACGGTATTTCGGATCCAGAAGGGTAGATAAGGAATAAGGGGAGGATGTGAAGACAAATTACACATCCTTAAGGATATTAAATAAATCACTGTAAATAGTTTTAATTAGTTTTAAGGAATAATAAGTGCAAAGTCGCATTTGTAAGCGAC